AGTTGGAAGGAGGGAAGAAAATGGCGTCTGAAGTCCTCTTTGAACGGAACGACTTCTCCACCTCCGGATCCACCTTAAACGCCGCTTGCAAAACCTCCGGCGACAAAGCCTTCCACACCGATGTCCTTCCGGCCAAATGAGTGAAGATCGGACTACAAACACACAAGAAAAAAGTCTTAACTTCCAATCTAAAAACTCGAAAGGAAATCGAAGAGAAACAGATTATTCTTACTCAGGGGTAGTGACAATGGAGAACCAAGACATGCCCTCAGAATCAGCAATCTTTGAAACAACAAAGAACCTTGGAACAATGAAGAGAGAACCAGCTTTGATATGAGTCTCAAGTACTCTTTTACCATCAGCACCAACCACTTGGACTCTTCCACTCCCACCAACAATGTAAGTCACCTGAAGAGCAGAGTCACAAGAGAAACCAGGCGAACACATAGAGTGTCCATCGATCTGAACAAGATCAGCACCAAACCCAACCTCACCAACCAAAGGAAGGTTCTTAGTGTTCAACACAACCACTCTGCCTCCGTTCTTGATGTCAACATCAAGAGGAGCCTCCAAACAGTTCAAGACAAACCCATCACGGTCCTCTTTCCTGGGCTCCGGCATCTTAAAGCTCGCATCGAGCTTCACAATCCCCTTCCCGGTCTGAGAACCGACAAGTTTCTCCACGGTGCTCTCGTCAAGATCCCAAGCCCTGCCTACGAACTCAGTGGAGAAGCCGGTGAAGATACCGTTTGAGCCAGTGAGGTAAAACTCAGTGAATTCTCCTGCTTTGTGACCCTTGTGGGTTTCACCAAGGAAGAGGATCACGAGCTCTGTTTCCTCGCTGTTGAACCACCATGAGACCACTCCAAATGGAAGAGCAATCGAATCACCTTTCTTGATTGCGATCACTTTCTCCTCCTTCTCAGGGAGGACAATCCCGGCAGTTCCAGATCCTGAAATCGAAATCGAAAAAAAGTAAAGTCACAACAAGTTTAACACGCGAGGTGATTAGATCAACGACGAACACATGATCAAGCAAGAAGGAAGCAACAAAAATGAAAAAGTTACTTTTTTTTGGCATAAAGTAGTCGTGATCTATTGAACTATTACTACTTTTATAGATAAAACTTCTCCGATCATACAAGAATCAGATCAGATTAATAAATCACAATAAACCCAATCGTTGACCCCATTTTCACAAAACAGAAACTATAAAGTTGACAACTTTGGACCTTGAAAGTATCAAAAACCTCAAACCCAAGCAGAGTAATGGAAATAGATCAAACCCACCAAAAAAAAAACACATGAATAAACAATAAAGTCGACAACTTTAGAGAGAAATCAGAGAGAATATCGAACCTTGAAGAACATAAGCGACCTTAGAGGAATCAGAGTAACGAGGAACAGCGAAACCATGCTGCTCAAGAGCAAGCTTAGCTGCTCCAATGTTACCCTGTTTGAGCATCGGCAAATCCTCTGGGCACCAAGCATAGTAAGATCCACCATCTCCTCCGTAAACCTTCTTCGGCAACTTCGGTGTAAGATCCAACTCCATCGTTTTCAATTTCTCTGTTAAAAAAAAAAAAGATCGGAGACGAAAAGAGTAAAGAAAAGATTTGGTAAAGAGAGTATTTTTTTGGATGTGAGATTGTGAATGAGATTCGACGCCTATTTATATAGGAGTGGAGAGGTTAATCCCGAGAGAGAATCGGCGAAAACCAAGCGTCTTTGGATTGCGATATGATTTACTTAGGATAACTATTGTAATTAATGTTTTTGATCAAGATTTTATCCGTTTCTTTATGTACACGATCTTATTAATTTATTTTTGTTTCTATAATTTGATGGTTGAATTTGACTATGCCAGATAAAAATGCTTGGAGAGAAAGATAATTCGGTTTATTTTTAATTAATTCATCACGTTCTACGTTTACCC